ACTCTTATGCCCTTGGGGCCAGCTAACCAGCAACTCCCACAACCAGGGCCAGATCTACTGTACTGCCCAGGCAAGGCTCAGGGCCCTTTCTCCTGCGTTTTGCAGCAGGTCATAGGCTGGACCAGGTCTCCTGCTCTCATAACCTCAGAGCCAGTTTCCCTACACTGACACCCTTGGGGCTTGCTCACCTGCCATCATGGTCAGCTCTTCTGTGCTGCCCAGATGAGATGCAAGGCCAGGTTTCCTGTCTGCCACTAGTGTTGAGGCAAAAGAGACAAAAGTGAATCCTTCCCTCACATATACCATCACACAGAAGAGATGATAGAGGGACAGATCTCCTGAGCTAACTCGCTTCAGGATATCAGAGTTTGCTCACCTGCAACTCCCAAATCCAGGGCAGCTATACAATGCTGCCCAGGTGAAGTGCGAGACCTGCTCTGCCAAGTGCTGCAGCTGGTGAGGGGCAGGGACAGCTCTCCTGCTTTCATGACTCCAGGGCCAGGTCTCCCAACTGCTGCAGGTGGTTGGGGAGACTGAAAAGGAGGGTGTCACTTTCTTATCCATGCTACAGAACAGGAGACAGGTGGCAGAGCTAACTCTCTCACACTCATATTCTTTTTAAAATTTGTTTATTTTATTTATTTACATTTCAAATGTCCCCTTTCCTGTTTCTCCTCTGCAAATCCCCCTCTTATCCCCTCCTCTTTGCCTCTATGAGGGTGCTCCTCCACCCACCCACCCACCCACTCCTGCCTCACCCCTCTACTATTCCCCTATGCTGAGGCATCAAGCCTCCACAGGACCAAGGGCTCCCCTCCCATTAATTTCAGATAAGGCCATCCTCTGCTACATATGTAGCTGGAGCCATGGGTCCCTCCATGTGTACTCTTTGGTTGATAGTTTAGTTCCTGGGAGTTCTGGGGGATCCGGTTAGTTGATATTGTTGTTCTTCCTATGGGGGGGCAATCCCCTTCAGATCTTTCATTCCTTCCCCTAACTCTTTCATTGGGGTCCCCGGACTCAGCTAGATGGTTTGTTGTGAGTATCTGCATCTGTATTAGGTGCTGGCAGAGCCTCTCAGGGGACAACTATACCAGACTCCTGTAAGCAAGAGCTTCTGTCAGGGTTTGGTGTCTGCGGATGGAATGGATCACATGATGTGGTAGTTTCTGGATGGCCTTTCCTTCAGCCTCTGCTCCATTTTTGTCTCTGCATTTCCTTTAGACAGGAACAATTATGGGTTAAAAAAATTTGAGATGAGTGGGTGGGCCCATCCCTTCACTGAGAGGTGGTCTCTTCAGGTTCTATCTCCTTGCTTGCTGTTGGGTATTTTGGCTAATCTTATTCTCACTGGTTCCTGGGAGCGTCTTGAATCCCTGGCTTCTGGGACTTTCTAGTGGTTCCCCAAGTTCCCCACCCCTTACTGGTACTTATTTCTATTCCTTCTCCTGGCCCTCTAGACTTTTCTCCTGTCTCTTCCCATATCTGGTCGTGCCCCCACTCCTTTTCACTCCCCATCCTCTCTCCCACTCAGTTCCCTCCCTTCCTTTGTCTCCTGTGATTATTTTGTTCCCCTTTCTAAGTAGGTTTGAAGCATCCACACTTTGGCCTTCCTTTTTGTTAAGCTTCATATGGTCTGTGAGTTGTATCATGGGTATTCTGAGCTTTTGGGCTAATAACCACTTGTTGGGAGCCGACTCCTAGCAGAAAATGGCTATCATCTTTGCAGCCATCTTGAGCCATATACCCTGACAAGAGACTTGTTTTCAACAGCCTGAAACAGCTGAGCTCACTCTGATAAACATCTTGTTTTTCTCACATATCTTGTTTTGCTGCTTAGTGCCCCCAGCTGCAAGGCACGCGTGGTATTCACGCTGCAAGGCACGTGACATAGTGCCTTCAGCTGTGTTCCCCTGCTTATCCGCAAGGGCAAGGCACGTGGAAAAGCGTATAAATAACCAGGATTTCCTTTCAATAAAGAAGAGACTTGATCAGACTCTCTGTCTTGTTTCCATTCTTCGTGTCTCTTGCCCCTCCATCCCTACTCTCTCTCTTGCTAGATCTGACCCACGGACTAGAGCAGCAGCTCGGGCTGCTACAGAGTGGCCCCCAAACGTGGGGCAGAACGGGTCATTACAACCACTTATCAGTGAGTACATACCACTGGAGGGCATTCCAGACGCCCCTCCCATACCCAGAGACAACTTGACTCCTAGGAAATCTGTCACTACCAGGCTCACAGATGAGCTGCCCCACTTCCTCCCCCTCCCTGCACCAATACTTGGCCTAACTGGTGTAGAGGGAAAAGTTATGGATACTGGGTATATAGAATCCTTTTTAGATATAAAATATTCTTTAGGCTTTCTTTAGGAATGTGGAAAGACCAGTCACCACTACTGGGACTGGCCGACCCGCAAAGAGAAAGGAAAGAATGCAATTTAGTCAGGTGGAACCAAGCTGAGAACCATAGCGACAGGGCAAGGCCGAAGTGACAGGGCAGGACTACATTCTTGAGAAAGATAAGCGTACAGAGAGTTTTCATCTGATCCTGACTCATGTAGGTTGGGTTCCTTTGGAATGTTCCACTATTTTTATGTTATACCACCCTAGCAACCCCCTCACTCCCTCCTCATTTCCTTGGTTTGTGGTTTTTCCCTTTAAAAACACCCCTCAAACTGGCAGTCGGGGTCAATTCAGCTCCTGCGTGGGCATGCGAATTGACCGGCAGCTAGTTGTCACGTCCTAATAAATAACCTCGCAATTGCTCTGGTACATGGTGTCTCGAGCAGATTACTGGGTGGTCGCGACTTTCTGAGACTTGAGAGAGGGTCTCCCCTCTGCGGAGGTCTTCACTGGGACTCCTCAGGGCCCAAAGGATGCAGGACATCCTGCCCTGCCAGAGACATACATTCCTTCTAGTTCACATCTATGTTTGGGAACAGATCCTGTGCTCCATCCCCCCCTTCGTCCCCAACACACCCTCGTCCATACCCAGAGACAGCTTGACCTCAAGGAGTTATGGCACAGGCAGGCTCACAGATCAGGCTCTCCAGACCCCATTTCATACCCAGAGACAGCCTGATCCAAGGAGGCTAGACATAGCCAGACTCACAGGAGGGACAGGCTCCAGTCAGAGACAGCAAGTCCAACTAACACCAGGGACAACCAGATGGTGAGAGACAAGTACAAGAATATAAGCAGTAGAAACCAGTGCTGCTTGACAACCTCAGAACCCTCTTCTTCCACCACAGCAAGCCCTGAATATCCCAACATACCTGAAAAGCAAGATTCTGATCTAAAATCCTATCTCATGAAGATGATAGAGGACTTTAAGAAGGACATAAATAACTCCCTTAAAGAATTACAGGAGAACACAGGTGAACAGACAGAAGCCCTTAAAGAGGAAACACATAAATCTCTTAAAGATATACAAGAAAACACAATCAAATAGGTGAAGGAATTGAACAGAACTGTCCAGGATCTAAAAATGGAAATAGAAAATATAGAAATCACAGAAGGAGACAACCCTGGAGATGGAAAACCTAGAAAAGAGGTCAGGAGTCACAGATGGCAAGCATTAACAACAGAACACAAGAGATAGAAGAAAGAATCTCAGGCGTAGATGATACCATAGAAGACATAACACAACAGCCAAAGAAAATACAAAGCACAAAAAGCTCCTGAACCAAAACATCCAAGAAATCCAGGACACAACAACAAGACCAAACCTATGAATAATGAGTATAGAAGAGAAAGAAGATTCCCAACTTAAAGGTCCAGTAAACATCTTCAACAAAATTATAGAAGAAAACTTCCCTAACCTAAAGAAAGAGATGCCCATAAATGTACAAGAAGCCTACAGAATGCCAAATAGATTGGGCCAGAAAAGAAATTCCTCCTGTCACATAATAATCAAAACACCAAATGCACAGAACAAAGAATATTACAAAGTGGCAATGGGAAAAGGTCAAGTAACATATAAAGGCAGACCTATCAGAATTACACCAAACTTCTCAACAGAGATTCTAAAAGCCAGAAGATCATGGGCAGATGTCATACAGACCCTAAGAGAACACAAATGTCAGACCAGGATACTATACCCAGCAAAACTCTCAATAACCATAGATGGAGAAACAAGGTATTCCATGACAAAACCAAATTTAAGCAATATCTTTCCACTTATCCAGGCCTACAGAGGATAATAGAAGGAAAACTCCAGCACAAGGAAGGAAACTAAACCCAAGAAAAAGCAAGAAATTAATCTTCTCATAACAAACCCAAAAGAAGAGAACCAAACAAACATAATTCCTCCACTAACAAAAAAATAACAGGAAGCAACAATCATTGACCCTTAATATCTCTCAACATCAATGGCTCAATTCTACAATTAAAAGACATAGGCTAACAGACTGGATACACACTCATATTCTTGGGGCCAGCTCACCCACAACTAAGTACCACAACTGGCTATGGGCAGGGTTGGTTCTGCTCTTGTGGCCCCAAGGCCAAGTCCCCCACGATGCCTTTGTGAGGGGTGGGTCCAGTTTTGCAGAGCTCTCAGACCTCACTATGTCTGGCAGCTCAAACCAGGGATATCTGCCTGGGCTTTGGTGGTAACAAACCATTGCTACTGAATGGCCATGGATCCATATGTTGCCCCTTGTGGCAGCATAGGCCAGGACCCCACAACGGTCCCATGTGGTTTCACTGGCTACTCACATTCTTTACTGCCCTCAACTTGCCAGTTCTGCCTCTTTTCATTGTGCCAACATGGTTCTATTTCTCTTTCTTTTCTATTTCACCACTTACTTGCTCCCTTTAGTGATGCCCAGGGACTCTGAGTGTCTGAGATTGTCTCAGGAGTGGTCTCAGTAGTGCAATGCCCTGCTTGTGAATTATGACACTGGGCAAGGGTTATCTTCAGCAAGGGTAGACTAGCTCCCTGTCTAGGCTCCCAGGTGCCTGACTGGTGGTTGTCGCAAGGATGCTCTTTTTCTGGGATTGTCAGGCTGCTAAATCATTCAGATGTTCACAGATCAGAATTCTGAATATAGACATAGCATCTCTCCCCTCTGCCACCTACTGACACTCATGTGACACAAAAGCCACACCTGCAATTTTCCTACACACTGGACCCTTATACTCTTAATTGGCTTAATAAATATAACTGTTGGTAGCTCTCTCATATGGTTTATTCTCGACATAACCTGACTAACTCAAAAGCTGCTGCATGACTAGAAAACTCATCCTAGGAGAGCTGGGATGCTGTTCAGGCAGCTCACAGAAAGCTGAGCTGCCTGAACAGCATCCCTATGACAATGGCTGTTCTGGTTTTATAACTTAGGAGAAGTTTGCTTGAATCTTATAAATTTCAGAGGCATCCTGAACTTTATTAATTTCGTTTACTTTTTGTGTCTTCTGCTTCTTCCTCCTTATTCTCTGTGGTCATTTTTGTTTTAGAAGAAATAGCTACACGACACATGTTGACTCTTTTTCTCATGGTCATAGTGTTTTGCAGTGGGCTGCTGGCTATACCAAGACACACTTCTATTTGTGGGTAAGTCCTTGATGCCCAGGGGAAGGACTATAGTGCAGGAGACTAAATGTTCCACCTCTGTCCTCTCCTACAATATGAAGATCCTGGTCTCACAGGATATAGGAATACCAACACAACACAGATAAAGTGTGCAAGATGCCAGACTGATATAAGTTTCCTGACCCAATTTCCATTGCATGATCCAGATTTCAGAAGATGGTGCAGAAGCTGCAACTTCCATAAGATATTCCCTCAGAGGCTTAGAGCACTGAGATATTGAAGCCACCAAGTTCCACAGGCCCACAAAGAGTCTCAGGCCAGAGGCCCAGGCTAGGGCCAGCCAGGAACACACATATTCTCAGTACAATTGTCATCACCGATTTTTAACTGAAGGATCAAATGGCTCAAGAAAAGACCCAACACAGACATACTCTACTTAACAGAAAGGCTTCTTAGCCCCATTCTGCTGGTCATTGAGAGGCCCTGCAGATGGCCCAGGAGCTGGCCAATGTCCTGATAAGAAAGGCAGTGAAAATTGCCAACATACTGTGAACACATACACACTACATAAATGTAATAAAAAATTCTAAACATAAAAACATCTGTTAACTCTAACAATGATGAATATTACCAATAAAATTAAATACAATGCACAGAATAGTGATTTATATGTTGTTTAGAAGATGAAAGATTATTATGATGTTAATTCTCTCCAGGAAAGCTGCAGGCTATTTACTAATTTGCATGTTTATTTATTCATGTGTATGTTTGGATGTATCCCTGTTGATCTTTGTCCAGGTACACATGCATATTGGTACACATGGAGGTCAGTAGACAACTCCTGGTTTTGAGTCTCAGGAATTATATGGCAAGTAACCATATGTGGTAATTTGGTAGCACTGGAGATTTGCAAGGCAAGCACATTACTAAGTGAGCTATTTCCCTAGATTCCAGTCTGTTTTTAACAGACACACACATTTTGTATATTCATTGACCAACATTTGCCTTATTTTGAACTTTTTGTCAATTATGAATAGTTGTACCATGAATGTTCATGGACAGTGTGAAGGGGTTTTTAATCCTCCTTAGCATTTCCTTGGAATATAAATTGTTGTGTCATGGGATAATTCTATTTAAACTTTCTGAGGATTTACCTGACTTTTTTCAACATGCTTTAGCATATTAACATATTCAGTTTCTACTAGCAACACTGTAAGGGTTCCAGTGACTCTGCATACTCAATGACACTTGTTGCTATAGGTAACCTGGTAGGATTTGGTACAGTTTTTGTGACAATAAGCCTACGGTGAATGGAGTTTCCTGTGTCCCTCACAGTATCACTCAGACATCCTGGGCAAGCTCACCCTCTATCAGTCACAGGTCCTGCTCATATTCAAGAGACAACACAACGCCAACGCTGTCTTTTTCTTTTGGCTGTCTCCTTCTCAAGGAGACAATGCTTCTCAAATGGTGTCCCTCAGAGAGCAGCAGCAGCAACAGCAGAGACACTGGAATAAAATTAAAAAGGAAAATTCTTGCACTTTATTTCAGGTCTATGAAGCTAGATACTTGGATAGACTCTAATCTGCGATTCCAGATTTTTTTGTTGCTTGCTCAAGTTTAGGGTAAGGGCTCAATTTCAGGGCAAGATAGTAGATTAGTGACCATTACTCCATACAAAATCTCTCATGTCTCTCAAATAAGGATGGAAGTGTCATAGGAAATAATTTATTTGGGGCTTGCAGGCTGATGGAGTGATGCTATTTAGCCCAGGATAGACCTAAACTCCTGGTTCTATCTGCCTGTATCTCAAGTGCTGGAATTGCAGGTGTTCGCCATCCTGTTTGACTTCACATTTTTTCAGAAATATTCAGTCCTTGAGATGTTTGGGTTGGACACTTTCTAGTAAAACGAAACACTGGATATGAAATGTACACAATTATTTTGGCCATAGAAACTCTACTAAAGGAGGACTTTTAAAGCATCATCCAGAAATGGCTAGTGAAATAATGTCCCTCAAAAAGCTTTTCTTAATGTCCCTGCCATTCAAAAGTCCAAGAGCATGCTGCCATATTGCACGTCAGCTCAGTGAAAATGGATAGCACAGAAGATTCATGGAGAAATCATTCCCAACACTCACAGTGGCCTCACCAATGACACTCTAGAAGGAGAACACTTTGGATACTCAGGATGGTTTTTTTGTCTTGGTTTGAGTAAGGTGTATACCTGTATGAGTGTATGCATAGGATAGACCAATTCCAGGGCTTACCAGATGGTGGTGGTGTGTGCCTTTGACTGAGCATTCAGAAGGCAACAGCAGGAGGGTCTCTGAGTTGCTCAGAGTTTGTAACCAGCCTGGTCTATAGAGCTAGTTCCAGAACAGCCATGGCCACACAGAGAAACCCTGTCTCCTAAGCAACAGTAACAAGAAAAGAATAAAAGAAAAAGAAAAAAAATCAAGGGCTCTGCTCTTAACCAGGTAATTGCCCTACGATTAAACTATATCCCACCCAACCTTCAGTACTACCTTTTCAATTAGGTGGAATATATTCTCTCAAGAAGTAGTGCATATTGTTCACAAGCAGTCATTTAAATATTTTTCCACTTCTTACCAGTCTATAAACTTTGTTATAAGAGCGGGCAAGCTTCCTCATCAACATGATTTATCACTTTCTTTAAACACTGTGGATTCATGACTTCTTTTCATCTTCCCCAGGCAGTACAGCAAGATTTTCTTGCTTGGCAACTTTCATCCTGGCTTCCAGGAATGTGGAATACACGTGGAACACATTCAAATGTACAGGCAGATGTACAGTGGGCTTTATTTTTCATTGACAAGCTGATTATAAAATTAACATTGTGGCTAGGGATTTAGCTCAGTGGTAGAACACTTGAGGGCTGGGTTCAATCCTTGGCACCACACAAAAACCAAAAGTAAAAATAAAATCACACAAACAAAAACTATTGGGAATACAAAGTATTAAAATATTCTTAAGAATAAAATAGGAGACCCAGGAGTTAATTTCAAGTATTATAAAAGTACTGTTATCAAAACACTATGATACTAGCATAAAGAGTGCCAAATTAATTCATTGCTCAGCTGTAAGTGGAAAATTTATATCATTCCCTTCAAGACCCAGGGAATATTGTAGAAAAGGGAATGGAAAAAAAGTCAGATGTGAAGGAAGGGATAACATGGCATAGCATGCTGTCTTCTGCACGTGGCATGGCCATTGAATTTCCTAACTTATAGAAATGTGATCACCCACAGAAAACTCGCACAAGATTGGAACCATCACCACTTTATCATAGATAGGGAGGAACCCAGTCTTCCCTGGGGAGTCATAGATGATTAATGTTTGGGAAGGATTATTATTATTTTAGTGGTGTAGCCATTTGTAAGGTTCCCATGGTCCTGTAAATAGCTTGTCACTTGTACTTGTTCAACTTAATCAGATTCATTGGGACACACACACACAGAGATATTAAAAAAGCACTAGTTGGGAAGAGGAAAGGGATCAGCAGAAGTGAGAGGGCAGAAAGGGGATAATTGGGAGGGAACTACAACCAGAATATTTTATATACATGTATGAAGTGTCATAATAAAACCAATTATTATGCATAATCAATACACACCTAAATTCCAAATATAAAGATAGAATACAGTACAAACTACAGAAGTAGGGAAACATAGATGTAATGATGTATTCTTGATAAAGTCCCAGAGCCAACATACAGAATAAAGAACGAGTTTCTTTTTCCTTTTCTTTCCTGATTTTTGAGATAGGGTTTCTCTGTGTAATATTTTCTGTTCTGGAATCTGTTTTGTAGATCAGGTTGGGTTGCAACTCACATAGGTCTGCCTGCCTTTGCCTCTCTGTTGTTGGGAGTAAAGGTGCGTACCACCAGTGCTTGGCTAAAGATTACTTTTCAACAGGTGACAGGATCAGGTGAAAATTCACACCCACATAATAAACTTGGATCCATGATGTACAGAAGATATAAAAGTGAACTCAAATAAATCTTAGTTCTAAATGTAAGATCTAAAATTATAAATTATCTAGATAAAGATTTTTTAGTATAGTTGATAAAGGAACAGTATTAAGAATATACAACAAACTCTTAAAAGCTATCAAACAAACAATAACCTAACTTAATTGGAAAAGCAGTTGGACAGTTCACTGAAGAAGTTACACAAATCAAATATAAGTACTTGGAAAGATCCTCAACACCCTCCCCCTAGAGGCATTGCAGGTATGGCTGTGTATTCCATGTGTGTCAGTAGATGACAGAGAGGAGAGAGAGACTAGTTTATGTTCAGTGTGCCGACCTGTAAACATGGTATGATTAGTAGCCTAACACTCTTTGAAAAAGCACTGTCCTGCCTGCCCAGACTGGCTTCCAGCATGGGGAGTGAGCCCAAGACAGACAATGCCCACATGGGGCCACTTTGATTGCCTGGACTAGGAGCAAGTCCAAGATGACTACCAGTATAGTACCATGGAGCCCAGACAGGGAGATGACCTGGGATCATCATCAGTTTGGTGCTGTGCTGGTCTGGGGGACTGGACCATGCCAAAGATGGTCCCAGAGGAGGAAAGATGGTCCTACAGATCCAGAACTACAGGGTTTCTATGACACAAGGCAACAGCAGTATCTGGGGAGGGTGGTGGGAAGTCCCAGTGAGATCCAGTATTGATTGTGTGGGAGAAGTCCAGGTCATGGTACCAGATCAGTAACTCAGTACAATGAATATCTGGAAGCAAAGAAAGAAGTGTGGACTGTGGAGTGGACTGTGGGATACACTAGGACACTGCAGTGTCCACAATGTTATTTCTTTTTCTCTGATTTGGGGAGGTTGTGGAGGTGGCAGGTTGTATGAGGTTAGGGGAGAATAGGTGGGATTGGGTACATGATGTGAAGCTTGTGAAGAACCCCTGAACTGTTGAAAAAAGGATATTCAACATCATTAGTGATTGGTATCATGCACATAAAAGCCATAGCCTATGTGTGGAAACCCACATTCTTTAGAATGGCAAAGATTTTAAAAGATGGCAAAGTTTCAGATGCTGCTGAGATTAGAGGAAGATGCGACAAATACTGTGGAAAGAAATTATGCTATGTCTTAAAGGAATATAAAGGAGAGTGAAGAAATGTGGGTGGTAGTCTTGTTAGTGTGGTGATTAAATGTAAGTTTAGCGTATGTATCAAAACTTAGCAAATGGCTTATTGTACTCAGGTGAAGTTTATCACATACTAACAATACCTCATTAGAAGCATAGAACACATCAAGATCTATTGTAAAAACAAACTTCTAAGACAGTAGCTAGAAAGCAGAAAGGCAGGACACAGCAGTGACACAAACACTTGTGGTTTCAGCACAGGATTAAGGTGCTCACAGCAGAAGTGATAATGATATGTAAATCTTGTCTGTAGAGAGCTATACAAGCACACAGCTACTGTTCCCTGCAGAAACAATTGTAACCTAACTTGATCATGACAAAATCCCCAAAAGAGAAGCAGAGACAAGGAGAGTGGCGCTTACATTGAGTGGCACTCAGAAACACAGAGAAATGCATAGTAGACTGTACAGATCAAATGTCAAAAAATTTCACTGGTTACTGAAGAGTATTGCTGCTAAGCAATATGTGCACCTGTTACTATTATGCTGGGTTCAGCATGGCTGTATAAAGAAAGATGTGACATAATTCCTGCACCTGGAACATTGCCAGGCTGTTGATTCCTACAATCCTACGTGTGCTAATAACTGCTTTTGTCCTGGAACTGATCTGCTCTCACTTCTATTTTACTTTCAATCTCCTTTTGGGAAATACACTTCTCCAATTACTCAGAGCCAAATACTTGACAATAAATGAAACAGATGTGGTTCTCAGGAATGAGGGATGAAGGTGGTCATAAGGCTGTGGAGGACAAGGAAAGGCCTTCTGCTTGGCCTTTAAGGCCCACGGGAAAGGATTTAGACAGCATAAACACAGAGGCCATAAAAGTCTACATGGTCCTTTGTAGAAATGGTTCATTGCCAGGCTTGGCCTTTAACTTGGAATTATGAGGAGATACATGTACCCTCTGATCTAATGACTGCTGCATTAATTAGCCAGGGTAAACTTGGGGACATCATGGATAGAGAGCTAAAGTGGTCTCAAGAAGAAAAGAAATAGCTAGGGGAAGAAGGAATTTATAAAATACAAGCAAATGGCAGATGGGTTTATTTTATAGGAGAAAGGCTTATATATGTTCTAGAAACAAATGGTATTAGAAAGAGAGTACATGAGGCCATGGAATTGCTAGGACAAGGAAACTAGGATTAGAAAATTAAACAATAAAACAATTATACTTTTTATAATTATATAAAAAGTGAGCACTTCATTCTCCTATCTACTTGAGGGATTGGAGATGACAATGCCTAGAGAGATATTAGAGAGAGCTAGCTGCTGCACTTGCATAAATTTTAAAACTTTGTAAGAAATTATTTTAACCCTAGTAGTCTGTCATCTTTCTGTTTTTATATGAAAATAGATACTAAAGACTGTTGTCTGCTGTACTAGGAAACTGTAAGAGGTATGCTCAGCTACCCGTGAAAAAAAGGCTGTGTAAAAACTAAGAGGAAATGTGCTTTTTCTTTGGGTTTAGTTTCTGTTTTAAGGAGGTAGGGGTTGGGACTAATGATTTGGAATTCATAGAATTTATATAAATTTAAGTATTCATAAAAATTAGTAACAATGATCAAAGCCTTGATGATGTAGCTTTAGTAAATAAAAAAACTGGACTCAGGCTCTCGGGCTGGGAGAAGACAAAAGAATAAGGAGGAGAAGACAAAAGAATGAGAAGGAAGAAAGGAGAAGAAAGAAGAATGACGAGAATCCTTGGGGAAAGAGGGAGCACTTGAACTGACAGTTGCATCCACTACTGACTGTGTGATTATTGAATTTGTGCTGCCCCCATTCCTGCGTTTCTCAGGACCCTCTTCATACCAAGGCTGGATATTGGCACTATTACACATAGTAAGATGTAATATTACACTAAGGGGCTTAGAGTTCTGACAGTGGGCTTACATTCACACTCCATTCTGTGTTACTGAATTAGTACCAAAACCAGTCTTATAATGGGAGTAAGACAAGTCACAGGACTCTGAGGTCCTCTCAGAAGTCTGGGGTCACTCACCAAAATACTGCATAGCTGCTATTTCATTTATATCAATGGAATAAAGTGCCTGTAAAAATCTTATCATATGGTGCTGAAGAGATGGCTCAGGGGTTAAGAGCACTGACTGCTTTTCCAGAGGATCCAGGGTTCAGATCCCAGCATCCATATGGCAGCTCACAACTGTTTGTTACTTCAAAATCTAAGACCTCCACAAACACATACATGTATATTATATACAAAGTCACATAAAATAAATTATTTTAAAAATCCTATTGTACACTATAAGTACAGCAAAATGGGAGATTCTGGTTTCGTTGAAGACTCAGTTGTGTCATGAGATGTCTTTCTCAAAACCATCAAGAGAATGGTTTTTTTTTTATGATTTTGCACTTCTTTATTAATGTATAACACATACTTTATAATGATTAGGTTTTTTTTTTCAGCTTGACACAAGCTAGAATGAACTTGTAAGGGGGTTTTAATGAGGATTTTTCTAGATTAGATTGGCCTGTGGGGAACTGAGATTACCCTAGTTGAGGTGAAAAGAACTACCCACTGAGAGTGGTACCATTCTCTGATTAGAAACTCTGGGATTGTGTTAATAGTGAAAAGCTAAACTGAACACTAGCACATGTGGACAAAGCCACTGCTCCAAGAGAATGTTTTGCTGAAGTAGACACATGATGTTTTTCTGGAAGCTGCCTGGTGAAAGGGCTTGTAATGGTTTACTAGACTGGATGCTTGAGAGGACACGCGATATTTAGAAAGTGTATAAGTTTAACCCAACAAACAGTGGCCAACCCTCTGACATCAGTTCACCTTGCCACTCTTTGCTGGTCTTTGTTGGGCTTTGCTGATCCTGGTCTTCACTGACAATGTTCTGGCATTGGTTCACCTTGCCTTTTTTACTGATCATTGCTTGTCATGACTTCATAGAGAGAAAAACACACTAAAGAACTTATTGTGATATTGCAGTGGCTTCTTGCCACTTTTTACCACTTCCTTGGGCTTTGGCAGATTTGCAGAGCCTTGTGGTTTCTTCTGGATCAAACTGCCATTGCTGATTCATAAATGGTGCTTGGCAGTGGACCAAGATACCACTGCTGATTTGTGTGAACTGAACTGCTGATATCCTGACAACAATTAGAACCACACCAAAGAACTATTTCTAAACAGGTCCACACCATCCTTTGCCCTATTAACCTTTCCTTTCCACTAGCTCTGATGGCTGTTAGGATAGAAAGGAGGTTAAAGTGTTTAAGAATCCATATAAAGTAGGTTTTGAAAAAAATCTAAGCCTACAGTACAGAAAACAATGGCTATCCATTGTTTTTGCTTAAGCAGAAAGCACAGGTAGTTAATTATGAAAAATAACTCATTGATTTCAAAAGGATACCTTTCCCCATGACTGTAATTTCTTAATCACACCTGTAAAGTAAATGGCTTACATGACAATAGATTCTGTGTTTTCACTCTACTTTTCAAAGTATATTTTCAATTTATATTTTATTAGTAGATATTTTATTATGCAAAGTAAAGGAATTCCCTGTGATATTTCAGTGTGAATGTGGACTTTGACCATATTCATTCCGTCTACTTCTTTCATATTTCTCTTTCCACATCCTAGAAGGTCCCCTTGACTTAAAAAGCATCACTATGAACTTTATATTTTTTAAACTTTAAGAAAATTATTTATTTGCTCATGTTAGTGCTTTGTCTGCATGTATACCTGCTGCCAGAAGATGGCATCAGATCTCTTTTATTGATGGTGATGAATCACCATGTGATCACTGAGAATTGAACTCAGGATCTCTGGCAGAACAGCCAGGGCTATCTCACCAGCCAAAACTGTATTTTTAATGAAGCAGTATTTTAAAAAATTATTACATATTTTCACTGTGGGTCTGCACATCAATAAAATCCTCTCAGGCAAGCATTAAGAGTAGGGGAATGCTAGGGCACTGAGGCAGGAGTGGGTGGGTGGGTGAGTGGGTGCAGGAGCACCCTCATAGAGCCAGGGGGAGAAGGGAAGAGATGGGGACTTGTGGAGGGGAAACTGGGAAGGAGGATAACATTTGAAATGTAAATAAAGAAAATAACCAATAAAAAATGAAAAAAAAAAAACGAAATTAGAAAAAAAAAGACACTACCCCTGACACTATTAATGATATTCTGGAATATTTGCAGATAGGAGCCTAG